GCATCCAGAAATGCAGGCAACATCACAATATAAAACCCCTCCCCCTCCTTCCCCGGCCCCCAAACCCCCCGGACAACACATTATACAGATATTTAGGGCAGAGGGTCAACTTTCAAACTTATAACACATTATTAATGTTAAGCTGTTGATGAATAGTAATCCATATAAACACCTTTCCTCTTTACAATTGGTAAAAATGGGACCTTGGGTCATATTGTCAGAAAAATACTTACAAATAAATAACCCTAAAATTTCCAATGTCCAAACCCGCATATCAAGCTAAGGACTAAGATGGATGGACTCCAATAATTGTAAATAATAAGGATATCACAAGTCTCCCTATCAAATAGGTGTCACTTAAAATGGAAATCCCAACCTAAGGTCCCTTCAGTCGGATTCACAAAACAGGAAAAATGAGCATGATGTTGAGAGGATAAATTATATAAGCGGGGAAATTGGCTTACCAAGGAGTGGTTTCCAATCCAACGCATTCTCTATAACACCACTCTAGATCCATCTCTTGCTCACAAACAGGTTAAGGGTAAATACACTGGAAGGACTTTGGAGATGGTTTTCATGGACTTTTGCAAGAAATTTGACCGTCCTGCTATTGCAATCCATCCATCCCTGCAGTTTCTACAGATATCATAAATCACTATGCCACAGAGAACTAGGTTCCCACTGGAATTCTCAAAGCTATTAAACCAAAAGAGGTACATTTTGGTTTAAGATTCCCAATATCCAAGCCACCCAAGTCCTTGGACCTACAATAGACCTCCCAACTCACTAAATGATCCCTATGGTCCTTCCCCACCCCTGCCAATAAAAATCTTTTCATGTATCTCTTTATTCTCTCTGCAACACCCACGGGTATTCTGAATAAGGACAAATAATAAAGTGGTATGCTAGATAAATATGCATTAATTAGGGTGATTTTTCTCCTAAGGAGAACAAGCCCCCTTCCCACACTCCAATCTCTTACTCGATTTATTAACTACCCTGTCCCCTAAGGAGATATTGTTAGAATTGCCCCCTAGTGGGACCTCTAAGTATGTTATATGTCAAGCTAGCCTACAACCAATTGACTCAGCTAGATACTCATCAACTCCTTCCTCCACATTGATCTCAAAGTCCATTCTTAGTTAAGTTTATTTTTAACCCAAAAAACTTTCCCGAACACTTGGACAAGTGTGAGCATGTCAGCAATCGACCTATCATCATATTCTGTAAAGGGTTAAAGAAGAAAAATATTGAATATTTACTTATCTATTATTGAAATGAGAATATGGATATATATACATATAAATGGATTCATATATGGTAACCAACATAAATCATCCTATTAATTACGCTAATATACTTAGAAAAATAATTATATTATTATGTATAAGAAATATTCTATAATATTCTAACACTTTCCCTCAAACTAGAGTATAAATATTAATCATGCTCAACTTATTTCGAAAATACTCAATCCTTATTCCATTCAAAGGATTTATGAATATATCACTAAGTTGTTCTCTTGTTTTCATATAACTAGTAGATATAAAGTTTTTCTAAATCTTCTATCGGATGAAGTGACAATCAATCTCGATATGTTTGGTTCTTTCATGATACACAGGATTCGAGACAATATGAATGGTAGACCGATTATCGCACAAGAGTTTCGCAGGAGATGTGGGCCTCAAACCCATTTCATTTAAAAGATAATGTATCCATAAAACTTGGCATGTTGCCTAGAGGATAACTCTATATTCAGACTCTGTGCTTGAGCGAGACACAATTGTTTGTTTCTTACTTTTTCATTATACGAGATTCCCACCAACAAAAATACAATAATCCGTAGTAAATCTCCTATCAATCTTAAATTCAATCTAATTAGCATCTATAAAACATTTAATATGAGTATGTCTGTGATTTCTAGACACTATATCAAGTCCTGAACACTTTTTAAGTAGCACAAAATATGTTCTAGAACCTCCCAATGTTTGACTGTAGGTGCAGAAATAAACTAGCTAACAACACTGACATGATATGCAATATTTAGATGAGTCATATTGAGGTAATTCAATTTCCCAACTAGTCGCCTGTATTTTTCTGGGTCATCAAGGGGATCACCATCATTTTTTGTAAGATGTACATTTTGTACCATTTGTATGTTGCATGGCTTAGCTCTTAACTTTTCTGTTTCTGCCAGTAGATCAAGTACGTATTTTCTGTGAGATAACAGAATCTCTTCTTTACTTCTTGTTATTTCGACCCTAAAAAAATATTTTACTTGTCCCAAATTTTTGATATTAAACGGTATGCAAGAATGACTTGAGAGAGGATATTCCTGCATGATCATTTTCTGTAATTACAATATCATCAATATAAACAATAAGAAATATAATACAAACTGCTGATTGTCTATAGAAGACCAAATGATCACATTTGCTCTTCTTTAATCCGAACTCACAGACTACTTCAGTAAACTTGCTAAACCACGCGCGGAGATTATGCTTTAGACCATACAAAGATTTTTTCAAATGGTAGAATTTTCCATACTCCCTCTAAGTAACAACCCTAGGTGATTGCTACTTATACATTTCTTCTAAGAGGACACTATGAAAAAATGAATTTTTAATGTGCAACTGGCATAAGGGTTAATCCGAAAGGCTGCAATAGATATGAATAAACGGACAGAGATAATTTTGGCCACTAGAGAGAATGTATCAAAATAGTTCATCCCATAAATCTAAGTATAGCCTTTCGCTACCAGTAGAGCTTTAAGTTCTGCCACAGAGCCATTTGCATTCACTTCGACTGTAAATACTCATTTGTACCCTACAACCTTTCTTCATTTAGCTAAATCTATCAGATCTCATGTCTGATTATCATCAAGATCATTTATCTGCTCAAGCATAGTATTACACCAATCAGGGTGATTCAAAGTTTTTATAACTATTTTGGGTATAAAAGTTGAATTTATATAAGAAATTAAAACTCTTGACAAAGGAGACAGATAATCATATGAAATAAAATTATCAATAAAATAAGTAGGCGTATGAATGGTGCACTGACGTTTACCTTTACGAAAACCAATGGAAAGATCAATGTCCTATGACGCAGAATCAGATAACGACAAATCTGGTGCAGACATATATTATTAGTTTGTTATTCTATAATAAACATGAATAATTAGTGGTAGTATTTGGGGTCAGAGGCACATGAATACTATCATCAACTTGTTTAACTATACAAACTGTTGACACATTATCTGAACGAATACTATTATCTGTTTGCTTAGTAAAGGCACTGGTGTGAAACTATATATGAACCACTCGTCGTCCGACCCCTGACTTGGATGATGAGGAGAAGAATAGTATATTCTCTAAAAAAACCACATCAGTTGATATCAAATATTTATTGAGATTTAGAGAGTAGCGCTTGTATCCTTTTTGGAGACGAAAAATATCTCAAAAATGTCATTTCAAGGCCTTTGAGTCTAATTTTATAACATTAAATTGCACATTTCAAACATAAGAGGTGTTACCAAATATCTTAAGTTACACTGGAAACAAAGATTTATTTGGAAAAAGAAGACTGTAAGGAACATTTCCATCAAGTAATATAGATTTCATACGATTAATCAAGAAACAAGCCGTAAAAATAACATCAGCCCAAAATTGCTTAGGAACTTACGTTTGGAACAAGAAATCTCGGCTTTCTCAAGTATATGCCTGTTCTTTCTCTCAACGGCTCCATTTTGAAATGGTATATCAACACTCGAAGATTTGTAAAGGATCCCGTGTTGAGTCATAGTTTTGAAATGAATCTGACATATATTTTTTGACATTATCTTTTCTCAATACATGCACAGAAATATTGAATTGTGTCTTGACTTCAGCACAAAAAATACAAAAGTAAGAAAATATTTCTAAACGATTCTTCATAAAATATATCAAAGTCATCCGAAAAAAATTATCCACAGAGGTAACGAGATACTTAAACCCAATTTTGGTCGGAATAGGACAAAAGCCCTAAACATCAAAATGAACTAACTCAAAAGTAGATTTAGCTCATCTATTGACCCTTAAACCTGACGGACGACGACGATGATGTTTAGCAGACCGACATGACTCACAATCTAGTGAAGGTATATCATGAAATTGAGAACATATCTTCTTTAACGTAGGTAGAGAAAGATGTCTCAATTGATAATGTACTTCAAATGGAGAGATAACGTTAGAGCAGACAATCGATCAAGATACCCAAGTATTAAGAATGTAAAAACCATATGATATATTTGCTTTACTATAATCTGTTTCTCATAGATCTGATACACAGTGATAGAGAAAATATAACACGACATTAAATTTTAGTAATACTCCCAGAA